CCCAGGCCCGGGTTTGCCGACTGCTGATTCAGCATCGCGCCCAAGGCGGTGCCTTGATTTACACACCGTCGGGCGTCCTCCCCCCCGTCTGCCTCCGCCAGCAAGACTTTGACGCTGGTGGAAGGAGCGGCAAATCCTTCACCCTAATGTTAGTTGAGTTTTAGCCCTCGCCTCGAGCGCTGCCATTTATCTCCCGGCTCCCGAGTCGCGAGGCGAAGAGCGGAGTTCATAAATCAGCTCGCCCGTCAGCAGGCATCAGGGCCGTAAATAAAGGGGAGCTGTCAAGAGGCAGCTGAAGGCAGGCAGCTCCTTCAGGAAGGCCAGACCGGAGCTGGCTGGGGTTGGTACCCTCACCCAGGACGAAGACCTGAGGAGCCTCCTTACTCTAAGGGACCTGCCTTTCACTTGAGACAAGTGTCACCTTGGCTGAGAGTCCCACAGGGCTGGGCCCATGACACGAAAGGCTCAGCTTCTGGCTGTTGTCAGCTGAGCCTCGCCAACTTGAGGAACGGCCAGATATGCTCCTGCAGGTAATCTCAGTGATGGAGCTGGGATATAAGGGTGATAGAATCAGAGAACTGAAGAGTTGGAAGGGAACCCAAGAGCTCATCTAGTTCATCCCCTAAAGCAACTATGATAGATGACCATCCAACCTCTTGCTTAAAAACCTCAAAGGTGTGCTGGGCCCAGGGATAACCTGAGCAACACGGCCCAGGTCCGGTCCCAAATCCAAGGGTTCCGCGGGGAGTCAGCCCAAGGGCCAAGGCAGGAGACGAGAGAGGAAACCAGGCAAGGACAGGTAAAGGATCTCAGGCAGGTTCTGGCAAACAGCAACGTTGCTCCCGCAACCTGGGGCAAGGTCCGGCAGCCTTTTATCTATGTTGGGGTAGCGGCCGGTCCTGATCCCCCGGCGACTCACCTCCCTGTCTCTCCCGAAGGCGAGCACTCCTCCTGCGAGTACTCAGGTCTCTCCTTCTCTCAGACCTGAGTCTCTGCAGCTCAGGAGACGTCGGTGGGTGACTAGACCCAGGGGCCACCTCAGCCTCCCCTGACCCAACTGGTCGTGGAGCAGCTGTGAGTGATGGCCCAGCTGGAGGCAACGAGGTCATCCCCGCATCTGGAGCCAGGGCAGGCTCAGGCCCCTGACTCGGCCCAGCTGGTGCTTGTTGCAGGGGAAGCTGTGCAGACTGGGGCTCTTCAGAATCAGGCCCCAGACTTGGTTTGGGTGATGCCTGAGGCAAAGGACCCAGTGCGGACTGAGACTCCTCTGGTTCCGAGCCCAAGTCCCAGGCCATCCCACTGGGCCCATGATACAAAAGGCTCAGCGTCTTGCTGTTGTCAGCTGAACCTCGCCAACTTGAGGAATGGCCAGATATGCTCCTGCAGGTAATCTCAGTGATCGAGCTAGGATATAAGGGTGATAGAATCAGAGAACTGAAGAGTTGGAAGGGACGCGAAGGGCTCATCTAGTCCAACCCCCTGCAATGCAGGAATCAGTGGAGTGGAGAATAATAATATTATTGCAGTGCAGTGGAGAATAATAATAATAATACTGCAGTGGAGAATAATAATAATAATGACAATAATAATAATAAATTTTATTTTTACCCCGCCCTCCCCAGCCAAGACCAGGCTCAGGGCGGCTAAAACCAGGTATAAAAACAATCGATTAAAATACAACTTAAAAACAAAATAAAAATACAACATTAAAATGCAGCCTCATTTCAGTAGAAACTCAAATCGAAAACTTTTTGGGGGATGAAAACATCAAGTCTTCACCAAGGCCAACTATCCAGACTGGTCCTACGTGGGCCAGAAAAAAGCCTCATGAGAGAGAGCGTTCCACCAGGCCGGAGCCATCACTGAAAAGGCCCTGGCTCTGGTTGAGGCTAATCTGACTTCCTTAGGGCCCGGGACCTCTAGGGTGTTGCTATCTATGGACCTTAAGGTCCTCCGTGGGGCAGACCGGGAGAGGCGGTCCTGTAGGTACGAGGGTCCTAAAGCATCTATGACAGATGACCATCCAACCTCTGCTTAAAAACCTCAAAGGAAGGAGAGTCCACAACCTCCTGAGGGAGACCGTTCCTCTGTCCAGCAGAACAATCTTCCTGATATTTAGTCAGAATCTCCTATCTTGCAACTTGAAGTCATTGGTTCAGGTCCTTGCTTCCAAAGCAGTAGAAAACAAGCTTCTCCCCTCTGCCATGTGAGAGGCCTTTAGATACTTGAAGATGGCTGCCATATCTCCTCTCAGACTCCTCTTTTTCCACACGCAGCTCCTTCAACCGTTCCTCATAAGGCTTCCTTTCCAGATCCTTGGTTATCTTGATCTCCCTGCTTTGTACGCGTTGTGAGGCGAGGCAGCCACTGAGGTTCCCTGGATCTAAGTTGTTCAAGACTTTGTAAATCAATACATGAACCCTGAACCTGGCTCAGTAGCAGCTGGGCAGCTGGTGCAGAGGAACCACCCTGAGATCTTTGGATGAAAGGCAGTTGTTGCTGTTGAGTCGTTTAGTCGTGTCCGCCTCTTCGTGACCCCATGGACCAGAGCACGCCAGGCACTCCTGTCTTCCACTGCCTCCCCCAGTTTGGTCAAACTCATGCTGGTCTCTTCGAGAACACTGTCCCACCATCTCGTCCTCTGTCGTCCCCTTCTCCTTGTGCCCTCCATCTTTCCCAACATCAGGGTCTTTTCCAGGGAGTCTTCTCTTCTCATGAGGTGGCCAAAGTCTTGGAGCCTCAGCTTCAGGATCTGTCCTTCCAGTCAGCACTCAGGGCTGATTTCCTTCAGAATGGATAGGTTTGGTCTTCTTGCAGTCCATGGGACTCTCAAGAGTCTCCTCCAGCACCATAATTCAAAAGCATCGGTTCTTTGGCGATCAGCCTTCTTTATGGTCCAGCTCTCACTTCCATACATCACTACTGGGAAAACCATGCCTTTAACTATGCGGACCTTTGTTGGCAAGGTGATGTCTCTGCTTTTTAAGATGCTGTCTAGGTTTGCCATCGCCTTTCTCCCAAGAAGCAGGCGTCTTTTAATTTCGTGACTGCTGTCACTGAAAGGCAGTATGTAAGTTTAATAAATAAAATAATAACAAGAAGAATAAGATGCTTTAACAAGGGAGTCACATGTTTCCCACCAGCGATCTGGCTGCCACATTCTGCACCTGGGGGAGCTTGCAAGACAGACCCAAAGGGCAGCCCCACATACAGTGCAATGCAGTAATCCAGCCTCAGGGCTACTAACACGTGAACTACAGTAGTCTGACTCTCCCTATCCAGCAATGGCCATAGCTGGCGAACCAGACAAAGCTGCCGAGACTTCGCCCTTGCATAAAGCTTTTGACTAATGCCGTTTAGTATTCTTGAGTTTGCCCGACGTCTTATGATGATGCTTCTCTGCCTGAGGCTAAATCTTCAGTTGGGGTCAGAAAAAGCAAACCTCAGAGTCTCATTCAAACTCTGATTGCTTTGCCAATGCCATTAAATTGCTATTCTTATGCCATTCTTAATCCATATTATTTTCTAAGTACCAGCCTGCTATATTACATTTTCCTTTAAATCGCTATGTCTTTCCTTTCTAGAGGAAGAGAATGCTATTCTCTGAATAAAGCACTGTTTAACGTCAATACACTGCATGATTCATTTCAGTTGCAGTCTGAAATCTGTGGCCATTTATATTGGTGGCCGTGTTTCAGCCTCAGTTCCACTTGGGGTGGGGTTTGCTAGAGTGCAGACCTCCAGGCCAGATCACAAAAATAACATCATTTATTGCTGTGTGGAGTTTGGTAACTTCTCCGTTTGTGTTTAGGTGTTTAGCATTGGGCACTTTGCATTTCAAGTTGCTTAATACAGTGGTACCTTGGTTCTCAAACTAAATCCGTTCCGGAAGTCCGTTCCAAAACCAAAGCGTTCCACAACCAAGGCGCGTTTTCCCATAGAAAGTAATGCAAAATGGATTAATCCATTCCAGACTTTTAAAAACAACCCCTAAAGCAGTCATTTAACATGAATTTTACTATCTAACGAAACCACTGATCCATAAAATGAAAGCAATAAACAATGTACTACAGTCACACAATCAATCAATCAATCAATCAGTCAGTAGCTGATCTGGCTTCCACACAGTCACAAAAACAACAAAAAAGCTGCAAAAACAAAAACACAAAATAAATAGCAAAGACAGACAGACCTCAGCGTTAACACTCAAAATGGAAGTGTGGCACTCAAATTGGAAGTGTAACACTCAAAATGGAGCATGCTCAGCTTCTGAAAACAGTTTGCAAACTGGAATACTTCCTTCTGGATTTGCAGTGTTTGGGTTCCAAGTTGTTTGAGTACCAAGGACCACTGCTTGAAACCAAGGTAAAGGTAAAGGTAAGGACCCATGACCGTTAAGTCCAGTCGCGAACGACTCTCAGGTTGCGCGCTCATCTCGCTTTACTGGCTGAGGGAGTCGGCGTTTGTTTGCAGACAGCTTCGGGTCATCTGGCCAGCATGACTAAGCTGCTTATGCGAAACCAGAACAGCACACAGAAACGCCGTTTACCTTCCCGCCAGAGCAGTACCTATTTATCTACTTGCACTTTGAGGTGCTTTCAAACTGCTAGGTTGGCAGGAGCAGGGATCGAGCAACGGGAGCTCACCCCGTCTCGGGAATTGAACTGCCGACCTTCTGATCGGCAAGCCCTAGGCTCTGTGGTTTAGACCACAGAGCCACCGCCACTGTATAAATATCAATTTAAACGCTTGACAGCATCTTATTTAACCATGCCAGCTTCCAGCCATCCCCTTGCCATTTTGCAAACTGCTTTGCTCCCGGTTCCTTTTCAGGGGCAGCTTGTGCCTGGCATTCACTTGTGCAGGGTTCACTGAGCAATCGCTTCCCCCTCGCCCCCCCTCCTCCAGCATCCAATATCCAATTTCAAGCCCTCCTGCAGCTGCCTGCTGCTTTTCACCCAGCAAAGTCAATCAGATGTCATTCCCGACCACTGCCTTGGTGACCACAGCAGCCTCCAGCGATACAGAGGGGCGACAGCATAGCCGCTCCATGTGCCAGGGAAACTTTTGCTTACTCAGCGGGTTGCGGGACGGAGAGGGGAAATGCTGTCCGGAATGGATAAGCAACTTCTCTGTTAAATTCCCGGGCTTGCCACAGACGCTAAAACTACAACAGCCAAGGCAGTTGCGAGAGCCTCTCCAATAACCTCTGCTTTCTTCTCCTCGCAGAGACCGACATGTCTCCTTTTCTCCGTATTGGATTGTCCAACTACGACAGCGGTCCCTATCTCCCTTCCCAGGGAGATGTGATCGATCCGTATTGCGCAGTGATAGTCAAGGAAGCAGTGGAGTCAGGTAAGTGCTTTATTCTTATGTTTGAACATGCATGCGCTTAGTAACAACAACAACATTTTATTTTATTTTTATATGCCGCCCATCTGACTGGGTTTCCCAGGCCACTCTGGGAGGCTTCCAGCAAAATATTAAAAACACAAGTGAAATGTCAAACGTTAAAAACATTCCCTGTACAGGGGCTGTCCTTCAGATGTCTTCCTAAAAGTCATATAGCTGTTTATCTGCTTGACATCTGACAGGAGGGTGTTCCACAGGGGCGGGCGCCACCACGAGAAGGCCCTCTGCCTGCCCGTCCTTGTACCTTTACTTCTCACAGTGAGGGAACCACCAGAAGACCTTCAGATCTGGACCTCGGTGTCCAGGCTGAACAGTGGCCAATGGTCAGGGCCGGCCACCGTGAGGCAAGGGGAGGTGACAGCCTCAGGCGGCAGGATCCACAGGGACAGCAGATCCCAATGTAGATATTTTGTGGGCCACCACAAATATTGTTCTTGATCTTCACTCACCCTTCTTCCCTGGTGGGGAAGGGGGTGCCATTTTGTGGTTCGCCTCAGGCGCCAAAATGTCTTGGGCCAGCCCTACTAGGGGAGATGCAGCCTGAGTCTATCCAGAGTGAGTTCAAATCACACATTAACATTGATTGATGATTGATTGATTGATTGATTGTTGATCGATTGATAACATTTGTATACCCTGCTCTCCAGCCTAAAAGCATTCCAGAGCGGCTTACATATACAGTAGTCAAAAAGACAGCACAGCTTGCAGGGTTACAGTCTAGAGAAGCACGACACACAGGGGAAAGGAACAAGAAGGGCAGAGGAAAATCAAAACTCAGGCACCAATTTTCTAAACAGTTGGTGTTCCTACAATGGCCGACCTGCACAGTTCAGAGGCAGGAGGGAGCTGGTGGAGTGAGTTCTGCTCTCCCAGCTCTCCCACTGCTGGAATAGCTGTCTCAGATGAGGGAGGGAGGCCTGATGCAGTCAGTATTTTATATGTTCTTGTCCATAGCTGTCAAGCGTCCCTTATTTGGCAGGACAGTCCCTTATCCCAACGCCATGTCCCACTGCTGTCCCTTATTGATGATGTCCCTTAAATAAACTACTGAAGGTAATGGGGCCCTTTCTATGTCCAGCTGTCCTTTGTCAACAACAAATTATTGCTGGTTTTTTTGTGTTGAATATATGCTATATGGTAATTTATGGACCTAATAGGTATCTAAAGCCATTTGCACGTAACAAAATATGTATTTTATCAAAGTAATTGTTGATCCCTTATTTTGGCTGCTGATCCCTTATTTTCGAGGCTGCTGGTCCCTTATTTTCAAATCTGTAAGCTATGTTCTTGTCTGTCATGGTTTTATTTTCAAACCAAGATTCATATAGAATCATCGAATTCTAAGTTGGAGGGGACCACGAGGGTCCTCTAGTCCAACTCCCTGCAATACAGAGTTGTTGTTTTTGTTGTTTTTAGAAATGCCCACTGTGGGACTCGAACCCACATCCCATGCTCTACCGACTGAGCTAGCCTAGCTGTTGTTGTTATATTCCCCTTAATTGTTATGTTGCCCATTCATTCATTCATTCATTCATTCATTCATTCATTCAATTTATATCCTTCTCTCCTCCCAAAGGAGTCCAGGAATGGCAAACGCAGCCATGATTATTTTCAAATATTCTAACAACAGTTTTACAAAATTGTCTCAGGGTTGCCGGAATCTGAGAGATGCCAGGAGCAGTGTCTTTCAGCCATCAAACAGGAATGATTTTAGATTAACCTCAAAGTCAATAACGAGGAAGACAGGTGTACCTCACCAGGGTGGCCGTTCCACAAATGGGGAGCCACCACAGAAAAGACCCTGTCACAGGTTGGTGGCAACAGAGCAGCCTGCAGTTGGGTCAGAGAAAGAGCAGATAGAGACTACTTCATCCTTTCCCTCCTGTTCATCTCGCAGCTCCAAAATTGCCCTCCGTCAGCTGCTTTTTTTACCCACAGGGAGAAAGAGTCAATTGTCACATCTTTTCCCCAAAGTTTTCTACAAGCCTGGGTACTATTTCTTTTCTTCTCTTCTTCTTTTTGTCTTATCTTACTCTGTACACTTGTAATTATGTATTTTTTTTTAATCTTTTCAATAAATAAGAAGAGGTAAAGCAGCTTGCGAGGGACGCGGGTGGCGCTGGTGGGTAAAAGCCTCAGCGCCTAGGGCTTGCCGATCGAAAGGTCGGCGGTTCGAATCCCCGCGGCGGGGTGCGCTCCCGTTGTTCCGGTCCCAGCGCCTGCCAACCTAGCAGTTCGAAAGCACCCCCGGGTGCAAGTAGATAAATAGGGACGCCTTACTAGCGGGAAGGTAAACGGCGTTTCTGTGTGTGGCTCTGGCTCGCCAGAGCAGCGATGTCACGCTGGCCACGTGACCCGGAAGTGTCTCTGGACAGCGCTGGCCCCTGGCCTCTTGAGTGAGATGGGCGCACAACCCCAGAGTCTGGCAAGACTGGCCCGTACGGGCAGGGGTACCTTTACCTTTTACCTTAAAGCAGCTTGCTCTGGCTAGATTTTTTTCTCTTTTTTACTTTTTGAGGGGGGAAACAACTACAGTAAAAGGAAGGGATTAAGCATGGGAACATTGGAAATTGTCTTATCCTATCGAGTTCAGTATTGTCTGCACTGGCTGCAGCTCTCTTGGATTTCAGACAGGGAGTCATTGCCAGCCCTAACTAGGGCTTGAACCCCGCAGCCTTCTACATGCCTAGCAGATGTTCTGCCACTTAGCTATGACACTGGCCCTAATTCTCTGTAGTCGGCCTTCCTCTGCCCCACCCAACTTGCAGCCCTTCCCAAGTGAATTTTGACTTTCTTTTCAAAAAGAAAAAAGCAGAATAAATAATTTGTATTTTAAAGTGCCTGGTTTGGGCTAGTTTATTCTCCCTGTTTTTAGCATGCAGCAGTATTTGAGTGTCACGCGATTTTAAGGAACGATTTAGGACTTGGCCATTCCAGAACTCCTCAATATGAATGGAAAGCACCAGGAATCTTCCTTATTCTGTTTGGCACTCCAATTTCAGAACTGTGTAAAATAGGTCTTTATTCAAAAACAGTGGCGCTAGGCAAAGAAAAGTACCTTTTAAAAGGAAAGGAAAAAGGTGCTATTGTAGTCCTTTAAAAAAAAACAAAAACACCCAAAGAATAATCTTGAGATCCAAGAAGTGCCAGCAAGCTAAAAATAATCCCTCTTAATGCAGAAAAGCATATTAGTCTTGCACAGAAAGGTCAGGGAACTTAATACACACACACATCCCATAATGTCTTGTTGGGGAAAGAGCCAGCAAACTAAGAAGCTTTATAGAATCATGTTGCTTTGATGGAGAAGCTGAAATTGCTAAAACGAACACCCTCAAAGAAATGGCTCCTTCTCCGCCAATATTAAAAGGTAAAGGTAACCCCTGCCCGTACGGGCCAGTCTTGCCAGACTCTAGGGTTGTGCGCCCATCTCACTCAAGAGGCCAGGGGCCAGCGCTGTCTGGAGACACTTCCGGGTCACGTGGCCAGCGTGACATCGCTGCTCTGGCGAGCCAGAGCCGCACACGGAAACGCCGTTTACCTTCCCGCTAGTAAGCGGTCCCTATTTATCTACTTGCACCCGGGGGTGCTTTCGAACTGCTAGGTTGGCAGGCGCTGGGACCGAACAACGGGAGCGCACCCCGCCGCGGGGATTCGAACCGCCGACCTTTCGATCGGCAAGCCCTAGGCGCTGAGGCTTTTACCCACAGCGCCACCCGCCAATATTACCGCCCCCGTTAATTAAATACACTGCAATCCACATTAGTCTCGAGGCAATTAATAGGATCTTATGAGATGTCTGGAAAACCCAGAGAGATATTGCTGCCATAGCCGACATTGGCTCAGCAGGTAAGACACAGCCACAGAACATCAAAAAAAGGTCCTTGGACCCAGTGTGGTGTAGTGGTTAAGAGCAGTAGTCTCGTAATCTGGGAACCGGTTCGCGCTCTCCGCTCCTCCACCTGCAGCTGCTGGGTGACCTTGGCTAGTCACACTTCTCTGAAGTCTCTCAGCCCCACTCACCTCACAGAGTGTTTGTTGTGGGGGGAGGAAGGGAAAGGAGAATGTTAGCCGCTTTGAGACTCCTTAAAGGGAGTGAAAGGCGGGATATCAAATCCAAACTCTTCTTCTTATTCTTCACTAATTCATCAGTACACAACATTGGTACTCCCCATAGAAACTGTCCCAGTTTCTATGTCCATCCTCTGTTGCCTCCTCCATGTTAGGTCCATCAAAGGGTAGCACCGTGGAGAACAGGGCCTTTTCTGCAGTGGCTCCCAGTTTGTGGAATGCTCTTCCTCTTCAACAGTTCTTTGGCTGATTAATATTCTACAACCTTTAAAAGTGTCTTGCTTTCTCGTTTAATTATTCACGTGTTTCAACCCTGTATTTTATTCTGTCTTGTTTTCACCCTGTATTTTATTTGACTTGTTTTAGCTCTGAAATCTTATCATGGTAAAGGTAAAGGGACCCCTGACCATTAGGTCCAGTCGTGGCCGACTCTGGGGTTGCGGAGCTCATCTCGCTTTATTGGCCAAGGGAGCCGGTGTACAGCTTCCGGGTCATGTGGCCCAGCATGACTAAGCCACTTCTGGCGAACCAGAGCAGTGCACAGAAACGCCGTTTACCTTCCCGCCGGAGTGGGTACCTACTTATCTACTTGCACTTTGATGTGCTTTCGAAACTGCTAGGTTGGCAGGAGCAGGGACCGAGCAACGGGAGCTCACCCTGTCGCGGGGGATTCGAACCGCCGACCTTCTGATCGGCAAGTCCTAGGCTCTGTGGTTTAACCCACAGCGCCACCCGCGTCCATTCTTATCATGGTATAATTAATTAATTAATTATAATGCAGGTCAAGCAAAAGTGTGAATGAGCCCCTATGTGATCTGGATTTATTATTATTATTATTATTATTATTATTATTATTATTATTATTATTATTATTATTATTATACCCTGCCCATCTGACTGGGTTTCCTGAGCCACTCTGGTGGCTCCTGACATAATAATAATAATAATAATAAATAATAATAATAATAATAATAATAAAAAGCAACAACATTAAAAAACTTCCCTAGACAGGGCTGCCTTCAGATGTCTTCTAAAAGTCAGATAGTTGTTTAACAAAGCAAGCCTTCCATCTTCCTCAATGTTGCATGCATTTATGAGTTGAAATGGAGGAAATTCAGGGAAGCAGGGCTGAACTTAAACTGCCTTGCAGATGATTCTGTTATTTTATTCGAACCTGCTGCCCACAAAGCAGCTTGCCCCGAAACAGGAGCCCGCAGGTGAGTAGGGCTGCTGTTGCCACTTCAGAAGAAAGGTTTGATGAATCCTGATGAATCGTGCAGAGGATGAACTCGCTGCCCTTTCAAAACTCCTTTTCACCAAACAGGCCACCTGGACACCTGCGGCCTTCGGCCACCTGCCTGCCTTGGGTGACATTTGCTTTTTGGAAGGCTCTGGTGTGTCTTTGAACTCTGCAGAATGAAGAGCTTCAAAGTCAAGCCTCAGCCGTCCCTCCTCTGGTTACTTCCAGGATGGATTGCTGCAATGCGCTCTACATGGGGCTGCCTTTGAAGACTGTATGGAAGCTCCAATTAGTTTGGAAAGCAGCTGCTAAAACTGCTAATAGGAGACCCAGCAGGTGGGATCATTTCACACCTGTTTGGAAAGAATGCATTGGTTTCTTGTCCGTTTCCAGGCTCAAAGTGCTGGTGCTTCCCTTTGGCATATGACCCAAATATTATTGATTGATTGATTGATTGATTGATTGATTGATTGCATGGCCATTTAAATGTGAGCATTCATAATTTAAATGCACAATAGAACATTCCCCTTAAAACACGCACAGGGAATGCTTTTCAGCCCACTGGTCACATTCACATTCCTTTTGGGGTGGTGAGTCTTCTTCTTCTTCTTCTTCTTCTTCTTCTTCTTCTTCTTCTTCTTCTTCTTCTTCTTCTTCTTCTTCCCCAAAGAGGGCTGCCTTCAGATGTCTTCTAAAAGTCTGGTAGTTGTTCTCTTTGACATCTGACGGGAGGGCGTTCCACAGGGCAGGTGCCACCACCAAGAAGGCCCTCTGCCTGGTTCCCTGTAACTTCTCGCAGTGAGGGAACCACCAGAAGGCCCTTGGTGCTGGACCTCAGTGTCCGGGCAGAACGATGGGGGTGGAGACGCTCCTTCAGGTATACTGGACCAAGGCTGTTTAGGGCTTTAAAGGTCAGCACCAACACTATGAATCGTGCTCGGAAACGTACTGGGAGCCAAGACCAATGTTATGTGGTCTCAGCAGCCACTCCCAGTCACCAGTCTAGCTGCCACATTCTGGATTAGTTTCTCCCTTTAGTCCTGAGTTCGGGCATCTTCAAAGCCCAGGACACCTTTGGTAAAGGCTGTTCTCCAATTGGAGCACTCGCAGGCCAGTGTTTCCCAGGTGTCGGTGTTTATACTACATTTGCCTTGAGAGAGTCTTTGAATCTCTTTTGTTGACCACCAGCATTATGCTTCCCATTTTTAAGTAGGGGCAGAGGGGAAAGTATTTGCTCTGGGTGAGATGCAACTATTCAAATAAATCCTTTTGACCCTAGAGAACGGCCAATCCTACATCCAGAAGAAGCCCACCATGTACCCACCTTGGAACAGCACTTTCGATGCTCACATCCACAGGGGGCGCGTAATGCACATCGTTGTGAAGGACAAGAGCGCAGAAATGGTCGCAGAAACGACGGTAGAACTCAATTTGGTTGCAGAGAAGTGCAAAAAGAAGAATGGGAAATCAGAAATTTGGGTAAGCGCCAGAGCCGTTGCTCACTTGCAGGATTTAGGTTTGATGAGGCCCTAAGCTACTGAAGGTAATGGGGCCCTTTCTATGTCCAGCTGTCCTTTGTCAACAACAAATTGTTACTGTTTTTTGTGTTGAATATAAGCTATATGGTAATTTATGGACCTAATAGATATCTCAAGCCCTTTGCACATGTTGCCATGTAACCAGTCCATGCAGAATGTAAGGTAAAGGTAAAGGGAACCCTGACCATTAGGTCCAGTCGTGGCTGACTCTGGCTTTATTGGCCGAGGGAGCTGGCGTACAGCTTCCGGGTCATGTGGCCAGCATGACTAAGCCGCTTCTGGCGAACCAGAGCAGCGCACGGAAACGCCGTTTACCTTTCCGCTGGAGTGGTACCTCTTTATCTACTTACACTTTGATGTGCTTTTGAACTGCTAGGTGGGCAGGAGCAGGGACTGAGCAATGGGAGCTCACCCCGTTGCGGGGATTCGAACCGCCGACCTTCTGATCAGCAAGCCTTAGGCTCTGTGGTTTAACCCACAGCGCCACCCGCGTCCTTTAGAGAGATGCTCTACCACTCAGCTAATTAATGGAGACTCATTTCCTTAAAAGCCATCCGCAGTCAATGGGAGTTGCCAGTTCCTGCAGAATTGAAACACTTGGTTTCAATAAGCCTGCTGTGAATTTGCTCAGTCTGAAGGACACTCTTCTAATAGACTTTGCTTAGATTTTTTTTTTTAAAAAAATCCCCTTTGGGCAGGAAGAATAATTAGCAGTAATAAAACTGACTTGAGCTTGAATTCGTTCATGCCTCGCCAGGGAATTTTCTCCAAAAACGTAATCGAAAGCTTAATGAAGAAATGTAGAGAACCGTATAGATCATGGTGCAACAATCCTGGAAGCTTTTGAAATGCACTTGTGTAAAACATTATTGCTGGGGATGTAGTACAGTGGTACCTCGGGTTACATACGCTTCAGGTTACAGACTCCGCTAACCCAGAAATAGTGCTTCAGGTTAAGAACTTTGCTTTAGGATGAGAACAGAAATCGTGCTCTGGCGGCACGGCGGCAGCAGGAGGCCCCATTAGCTAAAGTGGTGCTTCAGGTTAAGAACAGTTTCAGGTTAAGAACGCACCTCCGGAACGAATTAAGTACTTAACCAGAGGTACCACTGTACTTCCGGGTTGCCGCGGGACGCAACATGAAAAGATTTAACCCGAAGCGTCTTTAACCCGAGGTATGACTGTATTTCTGTTAACCAATGTCAAGCGTTCTCAACCTCCCTTCATAATAAATAAATAAATACTTTTATACATACATTTATTTATTTATTTATTTATTTATTTAATTTTTACTGTGGATCACAAGATTATTGCGAGATCTTTCCATTATGGCTTTTCATGCGATGGTCACTCCCTGGCTGTTTTGTCACTCACTCTTCCTTTTTAAACAAAAAAACAAAAGCTATTTTTAACTTGCCTTCCTTTATTTTATTTTATTTTTAGCTAGAACTGAAGCCACAAGGCAGAATGTTAATGAACGCAAGATACTTCCTGGAAACTACTGGCAAGTGATGGTCATATTATTGCTACGACATTTTCAGTTATTTTCGCTGCGGATTTCCCCACCCTGAAAGCTCAGGTTGGGACATGGTAATTTCAAAATGTACAAAATCCCAACGCAGAGCGATAAATACTTTTACATAAAGAAACACAGCAGAGCCTCAAAATATTGAAATTCTTAAACTGCTCAGGGACCAGTTCAATGGCTGGTACAATTTTAATTGGCTATTATGGCAACATATTGGGATTTGTGACACCCAAAGGACTGATTCACACATGTGCGAGCATCATTTGCTGTCTTTCATCACTCAGAACAAACCCTGGGCCACTTCTGGACTCCTTCTTTTCGGACGGAATTCAGTCACATCCTGGTGAATTTCAGTTTGTGCAGTTGAAGTTGGTTTGGTGCTTTCGTGTAACAAACCAGCTTCCTCAGAAGGAAAGTGACTGGAAAATAGATTGGAAAGCATATTGCTTGCTGGATGCAAGGTGGTCTAACCACCCTGCGAGCAAATCAGAACGAATGCACAATAAATAGCCAACATTTTCCAAAAACACCCTACAAACTTTGTACGAGCAAATCGGGGTGGATTCTTGAGAAACAGTTAATGGGCAATTGTGTGTTCACTGTTTTGTTTTTTTAAAAACTACAGTAAATTGCAAGCTCGGCTGGTCCACTCCAGATTTGGATCTTGGGTAGGAGCAGCCTTGTCTTTTTGTTACAGTCCCAAATTGGAGTCACACACCCCACGCCCCTGCAATTTACATTTGGATTTGATATCCCGCTTTATCACTACCCTAAGGAGTCTCAAAGCGGCTAACAAGCTCCTTTTCCTCTTCTCCCCCACAACAAACACTCTGTGAGGTGAGTGAGGCTGAGAGACTTCAGAGAAGTATGACTAGCCCAAGGTCACCCAGCAGCTGTAGGTGGAGGAGCGGGGAATCAAACCCAGTTCACCAGATTATGAGTCCACCGCTCTTAACCACTACACCACACTGGCAGAAAGGTCCTGTTTTCCTCCCAATTCAAAGAGTGGGTGTAAAGAGCTTTAGCTGAGTAGCAGGACACCTTTTTTCTGGTTCAGTCCCCAATTTTGTCATCATTTCCTGCTTGTAGCATCTGGTTGGCTAGTGTAAGAACAGAGTGCTGGACCAGACAAGCATTTGCCCCGATTCAGGAGGGCTCTTCCTATGCTTCTTTCATTTGGGGTAGGGGTCTTTGCAGGAGATGCCCAACATTTGATGAGAGCCAAAATTACAGCCATGTTACTTCTGCTGGAGGGTACTGTTATGTACTGAAGTTCTCACCCTGGGCCAGCAGGGGGATACTGTAGATAGTTATGCAAATAAGGGATCGAAAGTGACGTTCAGTGATTGGATAGTTTTAGAAAGTTGTTACAGTAACGTTGTACTGGAGCTCTATATAAGCAGGCTGACTGAACCCTTCAGTTCTGTCCTCGCCTGTGAATAAACAAGAGCTGTTTGAAGAATCGCTGTGTCGTCTGATATGTTCACCCACAACTTAACAGGTACCACTTCAGGCTGGGAGAGGACCTTGTGTCCGTCCTCCCTGCACATCAAAATCTAGCAGATCAAGGACAAATGTAGATGAGAACCCTGCTCCCTGACCTTCTAGTTTTCCAAAGACATGGAATCCCACCTCCCATGGGACAAGCATTCAGGCCTATGACACACCCCCAGGCAGTCCACAAATATATGCACTAACCACTCACTTCTCTTGGTTGTGTGACTCAGCTCTCTGAGTTGTTTTAGGAAGTGTGCCACACTGTTTATTTTTAAAGCTGACGCCTTTTCGAGCTCATTTAAATATATGTTATTTTAGCTTCTAGGCAGACCACAGGAATTCGTCATCAGAATAACCAAGCTTCTCTCTCTTTCTCTCACCCAGATGATCCAGAGTTTATTGACTGTGAAAAGGAAGGGTTTTTCTCTCTGCACCAACGGAGAGGAGCCATCAAGCAAGCCAAGATCCACAATGTCAAGTGTCACGAGTTCACTGCTACCTTCTTCCCCCAGCCCACGTTCTGTTCCGTTTGCCACGAGTTCGTCTGGTATGATACATGGCTTCCCCTCCCTTCCTTGATCTATTCCCATGGCAGTCTTCCCCCAACCTGATGCCCACCAGAAGTTTTTGGGACTGCAACTCCCATCAGGCCCCAGTCTGAATGGGCCTTTGCCAGTTGTGCTTGCTGTGGCTGATGGGAATTGTAGTCCAAAACATCTGGAGAGCACCAGTTTGAGGAAGGTTGTCTAGTGGGGAAGGGGCAACCTGCTGCTTCTCTGATGGAGAGGGAGGGGTTTGGAAGAGAGATCTCTTACTCTCTCGCAGCAAAATTAATGGCAATTGCTCCAAGCACATTGAAACTTGGTTAAATTTGCATCTGCCCTCATCTACCTTAAACAAATGTTCCCTATGAAAATACTAAATCTTGCAAATTAAGTGGATGTTTTACTCAGTGTTTCCAGACATTACAGCAAAGTAGTCTCCATCAATTGGCAGTAAGACGGATATGAAAAGGGGTTTCAAATGACTTAAAAAGAAAAGCACTTGCTTTCATTTTTTAAAAAAAGATCATACAGTCTTTGAGTTGGCAAAGATGCAGGCTTTGAAATCTCCATTTTGGAGAGATTCAGTTCACTTGCAGGAACAACTGAGCTGGGAGCCAAAGCCACATGGCTCCTTCTTTGCTTGTACCAGGAAGCACAAAGAGAAAAAGACTGAGAAGCAGAATGGGGGTGGGGGTGGGGAGAGCTTAGCCACACCCACTCTGGTAACGAACTCATGGCTCAGGTTAACCCTTTCATGCATGCAATTGTGAGTCAGTAACTATATATATGGGACGCGGGTGGCGCTGTGGGTTAAACCACAGAGCCTAGGTCTTGCTGATCAGAAGGTCAGCGGTTTGAATCCCCGTGACGGGGTGAGCTCCCGTTGCTCGGTCCCTGCTCCTGCCAACCTAGCAGTTCGAAAGCACGTCAAAGTGCAAGTAGATAAATAGGTACCTCTCCGGTGGGAAGGTAAACGGGGTTTCCGTGCACTGTTCTGGTTCGCCAGAAGCGGCTTAGTCATGCTGGCCACATGACCTGGAAGCTGTATGCCGGCTCCCTCAGCCAATAAAGCGAGATGAGTGCCGCAACCCCAGAGTCGGCCATGACTGGACCTAATGGTCAGGGGTCCCTTTACCCTTAACTGTATATATTACAACAGAATCCTCTTACTGGAAGGGCCACTGCGAACCATTCCTCAATGTGAATTCAAAATCCTACCCAGCCCCCTATATGCAAATGATGCAAGCTCAAATAGCTGTTGGAGGCAAACAACACCTATGAATTTAACATGTATTTTTAAAAATTTGAATAGCATCCGCTGCAGGGGGATTTCCTCCCCTTTGGGCCCAAAGGAGGATTGATGGGAGAAAGAGAGAGAGCACGCAAAAATCACCTTAAAAGGAGGGATTTTCCTCAGGACCATAGCAGAAGAGAAAAGGGCTAAATTTCTACTCCACGCTTGCTTCGATTCTCTTCCCCAACAGATTATCTTTGAATTTTTTCAAAAAACTTGCATGTTCTAAATGCAAAGACATATTTAATGTCCTGCCTCTACCTTGAACGTATTGCTGTCGTACTAATAGTGGCTTCAGTTTTCTCCAGTCCTTATCCAGCTGACACCACTTATTTGAGGAAATTTGACCATCCCCCAAATTCAGAAAGACATTTACGCAAGCTAAATTCCATGCCTTGCCACCTGCACTGTTGGAAGGCAGACACAGAAAGATGAAAGATTCCTCGTGGCAAGGGGGTCTGCCCATGTCAGAGCGGTCAAATGGAAACTGTGGGCCATGTTCTATTCCATTGTAGATTTTATACAGAACTCAGAGCCTCTCTCGTAACCCTTCTTGTATGAAAAGTACCAGGGAGGACAGAGAAATATTATTTAAACGACCTCTTGTCCAACCAGAATCCAGATGTCACTAGAAACGTACAGCAGCTAGATTTTGTGCAATAGCCATAAGTCAAAGAAAGCATAAATCATTGCAGCTTATAGTTAAATCTTCTTGTTCTTGTATTTCTTAAATGGAGTTCTTAAGTCTATTTAATGAGTATATTGATTGTTAAATTCCACTCTGAATCGTCTTTATCGTTTTTGTAAAGAACTACGCAGGAATTCTGATTTTAGTATGCTGGCTGTTTGGCCGTAATAATAAACATTCAAGCCTAGCCTTTCTGGGCCCAGATCCCAACACACGGCATTTCTTTTGTTTTAAAGTCATTCTTCTCAAATATACATGATGAACGTTATCCTTACTCCAAACTCTCTCCTTTCTGTGTTTCAGGGGTCTTAACAAGCAAGGTTACCAGTGCAGACGTAAGAAAATTTTAGCATATCGCGTTATATTTACAACTGCCCAAATAGAAACTGCAGTGTTTCTTGCCCCGAAGAAAACCAAGAATGCTTAAAAAAAATTAGCAAGCCAGCCGTGGAAACAAAGAGCGCATGTGTAAATGTGACCTACAAGAGCCATGTCACCTCTCACAGACTACAGTAGGAATTAATGACAACATTCTCTATTGGTCTACTCTGAAGTAAGGCAAATTGAGATCAGTGGGACTTACGCCCAGGTCAGAAGGCATAGGGTTACAGCTGAAAAGTGCCTAATTTCTGGCTGGATTGCGGGCCAACACACTCCCATTTCAACTCTTTTGAGAAGCGGTCCAAACCTATGCTGGATCTCTCCTGTAATTTCTCATGAAATTCTGCATTTTGATGGGTTTTCCCACGAACCAGCTTCAATCGGAATTGAGACAAAGAACAGTCTGGGCATGCTTTAAGCCACACAGCCTGTGTTTTGTTAAATGCAATCCTAAAAGACAGTGGGGAGCAGGTAGAAGCTGCATGCAGGTATACTCCTTCTGTACAGCAGATTCTGGTTGAGTCTCCATTTCTGATATTTTAGGGATTTCACCTTTTCCTTAGGGTCTCCAGGAAAAGTGCAAAATCGCCAAGTGATAAGCCAAAATCGAGGGGATATGCCACTTTCCCATTGGCTCTGGAACTTTTGCAATTTGCTCCACCCAGTCAGGAGGCAGTCCTATGCTGGCTTATTCCCACACAAGAAAAGTCCATGTCCTCTCTTTAAGAATGTACATTGGCTCCCAGTACGTTTCAGAGCACAATTCAAAGTGTTGGTGCTGACCTTTAAAGCCCTAAATGGACTCAGCCAAGTATACCTGAAGGAGCGTCTCCACCCCCATCGTCCAGCCCAGACACTGAGGTCCAGCGCCGAGGGCCTTCTGGAGGTTCCCTCACTGCGAGAAGTGAGGTTACAGGGAACCAGGCAAAGGGCCTTCTCGGTAGTGGCACCCACCCTGTGCAAACGACTTCCCTTCGGATGTCAAGGGAAAAAACAACTGACTTTTAGAAGACATCCGAAGGCAGCCCTGTATTGGGAAGTTTTTAATGTTTGATCGTCTTTTAAATATTCTGTTTCCCCCAGAGCAGCTGGGGAAACCCAGCCAGATGGGTGGGGTAGAAATAAATTTTATTATTATTATTATTATTATTATTATTATTATTATTATTATTATTATTTCTAATGTCCAATACTGTATTTGCAATATTTCTCATACTGCTTGTGGCTGGCTTTAAAATGGAATTAAACAAACCCATGAAGGATTAGGCTATAACAGGGGTAGGCAACCTAAGGCCCGTGGGCTGGATGCGGCCCAATTGCCTTCTCAAATCCGGCCCGCGGATGGTCCGGGAATCGGCGTGTTTTTACATGAGTAGAATGTGTCCTTTTATTTCAAATGCATCTCTGGGTTATTTGTGGGGCCTGCCTGGTGTTTTTACATGAGTGGAATGTGTGCTTTTATTTAAAATGCATCTCTGGGTTATTTGTGGCCCTTCAACAATGCTTTATATGGTTTGTTTTCCCTTCCCAGAATGCAATGCTGCCATTCACAAGAAGTGCATTGACAAAGTAATAGCAAAGTGTACGGGATCAGCCATCAATAGCAGAGAAACCGTGGTATGTATTGAATGAAGGTCCTTTTTGTGAATCAGCTGAAGGTGGCCTGTATCTGAATGAAACTTCTTGTGAATCGGTTGAGGGCGGTGTGTATCTGAATGAAGGATTTTTTTGTGAATCAGTTGACAACACACCGGTTGCCAAGAGTTTGAAAACACCTTTCCTCATTAAAAAAAAAAAAAAGATTGGAGAAAATCATGGACCTCAAGGTAGAGACGTGCAGATAGATTTGGTGCCCTCTGCCAATTTCTCTTCTTCACAACAACCCTGTGAGATAGGCTAGACGGACACAAATGGGACAACATAGTCACACGAGGTGTAAACAAGGTGTCCGTGGGGAATTTAAGCTAATTCCGTATGCATGGTGCAAAAAATCTCAGCAACTCTGTGGGTGTCTGTCAGGAATTTTACTTTTTGAACCCTACACAAGGGAAAGGAACGGCTCCACAATTTTTGCTGCCTGGGGCAGATTAGAAAATGGGGTCCCCTGTTGCAGTCCAAGTGCATTGTTCCTAAGGCCAGCAAACTTACTTTGGCAGCAGAGACTGAAAATCCCACCAGCATCTCTCGCCCTCCCAGCAGCACTGAGAAATGCAATGCTAATAACTGCAACAATTTGCTACACTTTTATGACATCCAAAATTGACCACCTGATGCTGTTGCCTCACTCTGCCTAATGACAAAGCCGGCACTGATGCCACGGCTGAATGGGGTCTGAACTCACCTATCCTGACCTAAGTCCTGTTGGCTCTCATGACGCTATTGTCTCCGTGAGTTGCCTTGGGCAAGATGTCGTCTTTCCTTTCCTACTCCAAAATGACCTACTTCGCAGGCAAGCTGGATAAACTATTGGTAGAGAGAGGGAACCTCCAGATGGTGCTGGACAGCAGGTCTCATTTCCCTGACAATTTGCCATTTTGGCTGGGGCTGATGGGAGCTGGAGTCTAACCACATCTGGATGTCCACAGCTTTCTCATCCCTGGTCTATTGTGAATTTTAAGTTGTGGGTGAACATATCAGACGACACAGCGATTCTTCAGAGCTCTTCAAGCTCTTGTTTATTCACAGGCCAGAACAGAACTGAACTGAAGGTTCAGTCAGCCTGCTTATATAGAGCTCAACTACAACGTAACTGTAACAATTTTCTAAAAACTATCCAATCACTGAACGTCACTTTCGATCCCTTATTTGCATAACTATCTACAGTATCCCCTGCTGGCCCAGGGTGAGAACTTCAGTACATAACAGTGAAAGTGAGGGGCACATTTGATTACAGTCACTGCAGAACCCATGACATTGTTTATAATTCCTTGTTCAATTCATTTGCACTGGAACTGTTTGTATTTGCAAAAGAGGAACTGTTTAAGGCTTGAACCCCTTCAGTTTTGTATGTATTTGCAACACCAGAAGCAGGCCATGTGCGTCCTCTGACTCGTCCTCTCTCTCTCTCTTTCTTTCTTTCTTTCTTTCTTTCTTTCTTCTTTCTCTCTCTCTCTCTCTTTTGCAGTTCCACAAAGAGAGGTTTAAGATTGACATGCCCCACCGATTTAAGGTCTACAATTACAAAAGCCCAACGTTCTGCGATCACTGCGGCACTCTGCTCTGGGGTCTGGCACGGCAGGGTTTGAAATGTGATGGTAAGTCCAGGGCCTCAGCTATAGAGCTGTAAATATAACATGAATAGAACGCAACCCACAGCGGTGCATCTGCGCATGCGCGGGTTGCGATTCGCCACTTCTGCGCATGCGCATGTCGTCATTTTGTGCTTCTGCGCATGCGCGAGCGGTGAAACCTGGCGGTAACCCTTTCTGGTACTTCCGGGTCACAACCTGAAAAAACGTATCATGAAGCAAACGTAACATGAGGTATGACTGTATTATTATTATTATTATGAGGAATGGTTGAAGGAGCTGAGTTTGTTTAGCCCGGAAAAGAGGAGACTGAGAGAGCATAGCAATCTTCAAATATCTCAAGGGCTGTCACATGGAAGAGGGAGCATGCTTGTTTTCTCCTGCTCTGCGGGGGGTAGGACTCAAACCAATGGCTTCAAGAATCTCAAGGAGATTCTGACTAAAGAACAGGAAGCATGTTCTGACGGTAAGAGCTGTTTGACAGTGGAAGAGACTCCCTTGGGAGGTGGCGGACTCTCCTCCCTTGGAGGTTTCTAAGCAGAGGTTGGACGGCCATCTGTCATGGATGCTTGAGTTGAGTTTCCTGCATTGCAGGGGCTGGACCACATGTCCCCTCACGGTCCCTTCCTAGTCTGTGATTTAACCCACAGCGCCACCTGCGTCCCCACCTGTGAGGTAGGTTACTCCAAAAGCAAATTACAGTGGTACCTCAGGTTACAAACACTTCCGGTTACAAGCGCTTCAGGTTACAGACTCCGCTAACCTGGAAGTAGTACCTCGGGTTAAGAACTTTACCTCAGGATGAGAACAAAAATCGTGCGGCGGCACGGTGGCAACGGTAGGCCCCATTAGCTAAAGTAGTACCTCAGGTTAAGAACAGTTTTAGATTAAGAACGGACCTCCAAAACGAATTAAGTTCTTAACCAGAGGTACCACTGTACTGGCCTGAGGTCACCCAGTGAACTTCATGGCTGAGGGGCGATTCGAACCCTGGTCTCCCATGTTTTGGTCCAACACTCTAACCACTACACTGTTGAGTATTACGTTTCCGCTGCAATCTCGCAGCCGTTCCAAATTCTGAGTCTAGAAATTCAGCGGAACGGTTTATTCTCCGAATTCTTCTCCGGGTCAGCCAAGATCTAAGCCTCCATTTGTTGTTTAGTTGTTTAGTGGTGTCCGACTCTTCGTGACCCCCTGGACCAGAGCACGCCAGGCCCTCCTGTCTTCCACTGCATCCCGCAGTTTGGTCAAACTCATGCTGGTAGCTTCGAGAACACTGTCCCACCATCTCATCCTCTGTCGTCCCCTTCTCCTTGGGCCCTCCATCTTTCCCAACATCAGGGTCTTTTCCAGGGAGTCTTCTCTTCTCATGAGGTGGCCAAAGTCTTGGAGCCTCAGCTTCAGGATCTGTCCTTCCAGTGAGCACTCAGGGCTGATTTCCTTCAGAATGGAGAGGTTTGAAGCCTCCATATCTCCACCATATTGGCCCGGTTTCCTAACTTCTCGATTCCCTTCCTCCTTTCCCTTGGGAGATGGATGGTTCAGAGAAGGAGACTACAAGCATCTCTCCCGAGCACAAAATAAACACACAAACACATCTGCATCCCTCATTTCCCCAAGGGAATTCCGTCAAGGGAGGGGAGGAGATGGACCGGTTCCCATCTCTCCCTCCGCCGAGCCAAATTGCTTTGTTTGACAGAGATGGGTCAGTCAGTCACCGCTAATCTTCGGACACTTTTAGTGTCACTCTAATGACAGCCAGGCTCTCGGCGGCGATGGCAATAAAAGCCTCTTAAATCTGGCTGCCCTGAGCTGCCTCTCTTCCCAGGGCACTTCCTTCCCTCAGGAAATGACATCCTGACAAGAATCGGACGTGAACTCTCCCATCTCTGAGGCGCATTAAGACCTTCTCAGGAAGCTCTCTGAAGGCTGCACTTCCCCCTCACGTTCCCCCACCGCTGGCGCTGCCCATCAAAGGCCATTTTAGACAGGAACCAAAGAGATCCTCTCAGGAATGGGTCAGTCGGATTCGAAACCTGCTGGATCAGAGATTCCCAGAGGACTGGAGTAAATATATGAAATATTTGAAAAGCAATTGTAATCAACGCGAGCAGGATTGCGAGAGCTTTTGTAAGGAGGGCGATGCGAAATATTGGAGAGAAAACTACGATAAGATTCGTGAAGGAGTATGAAATGTAATACTGAAAAGAATGAAATGCAGATTAAGTGATAAAGACTGGAAAGTCTTCAGATGCAGTTGATGGAAGTCCGACAAATTGTATAAGATAAGAAAGTATGTTACAGTGGTACCTCGGGTTGCATACGCTTCAGGTTACATACGCTTCAGGTTACAGACTCCGCTAACCCAGAAATAGTACCTCAGGTTAAGAACTTTGCTTCAGGATGAGAACAGAAATCGTGCAGCAGCAGCAGCGGGAGGCCCCATGAGCTAAAGTGGTGCTAAGAACAGTTTCAGGTTAAGTACGGACCTCCGGAACGAATTAAGTACTTAACCCGAGGTACCACTTTATATGATTTTTGGAAATTATTTGTAAAAATCAATAAAAATATTAATAAAAAAGAGGAACGGATCAGCCGGGAGACTTCGCTTGCCATTCACGTTCCTGACTCCACCGCTTCCTCCCTTGCCCAGAACCAAGGCACCATTTCATTTTCCTGATCACAAGCTGCGCCCGCATGTAGGGCCTTTGCTCCTCTCCATGCCTGGCCTGCAACATGAAGCCCAGAGGGGCCCCAAAGGCAGGGCTGTACCAGTTGGATTTCAGCGTCTTGTGCCGTGGGATGTCTTCGAATCTACCTGCCAGCTCCAGGCTTCCTCTGGTCTCCTATCCAGGCTGATGTTCACTTCTGGGTTTCCAGGTGTGACAGCCGACATCTCATTAAACAATATTCTCTACTCACATTTTCAAAAGTCAGTATTTATATTCGTACAGTCGTTGTTGTTGTTTAGTTGTTTAGTCGTGTCTGACTCTTCGTGACCCCCTGGACCAGAGCACGCCAGGCACTTCTGTCTTCCACTGCCTCCCGCAGTTTGGTCAAACTCATGCTGGCAGCTTCGAGAACACTGTCCCACCATCTCGTCCTCTGTCGTCCCCTTCTCCTTGTGCCCTCCATCTTTCCCAGCATCAGGGTCTTTTCCAGGGAGTCTTCTCTTCTCATGAGGTGGCCAAAGTCTTGGAGCCTCAGCTTCAAGGATCTGTCCAGCCATACCTCGGGTTAAAGACGCTTCAGGTTGAGCGTTTTCAGGTTGCGTTCCACGGTGACCCGGAAGTAACAAACAGGTTACTTCCGGGTTTTGCCGCTCGTGCATGCAAAGATGCTCAAAATGACATAATGCGCATGCGCAGAAGCGACAAATCGCGATCTGCACACGTGCAGACGTGGATTGCGTTCTGCTCAGGATGCGAACGGGGTTCCGGAACAGATCCCATTCGTATCCAGAGGTATCACTGTATTTCATATAATCAGATAGAATCATTAGCTGTTGTTGGGGGCTGAATCTGTGGTTAGAGTGTTGGACTAGGACTTGGGAGATGAGGGTTCAGACCATGGTCCACTTGACCATGAAATTCAGTGGGTGACCATTGTCCAGTCACTGCCCCTCACCCTTACCTACCTCACAGGGTTGTTAATGGGGAGAGAACCATGCAGGCCACATTGAGCTACTTGGAGAAAAGATTAGATGCAATTAGCAACTTAATGAGAAATTTCAGTCTTTCTCAATCTGCCATTTTTCCAGCCTTGAGTTCAGTTTACTCCCGATGCCTGCACCACTTTTAATTTTTTCCCTAAAAAATCTGCCCAAAGATTTGTATACATTTTCTTGCACATTTCTCATAATACATGAAATTAAAAGAAAACATATTTGTACGCTATTTTCCCGAATATATGCATTTTTCTACACCTTGGGGGGAGGGGGGTTTGGAGAATTGTATCGCAAAATTCAGAGAAGTGCAAATTTCGTATCTGAAGAAGTGTGCATGCACAAAAAAGCTTATACCCTGAACAAACTAACAGTTCAAAAGCACATTAAAGTGCAAGTAGATAAATAGGTACTGCTCCGGCAGGAAGGTAAACACCGTTTCCGTGCACTGCTCTGGTTCGCCAGAAGCGGCTTAGTCATGCTGGCCACATGACCCAGAAGCTGTGCACCAGCTCCCTCGGCCAATAAAGCGAGATGAGCGCCTCAACCCCAGAGTCGGTCACGACTGGACCTAATGGTCAGGGGTCCCTTTACCTTTTTAAGGTCCTTCTGGACAATTTTTTTAATTTTTTTTATTGCAAATTTCAAATCGTAGTGTTTTGGTTCAAGCAGTGGTTTGGAAAGGTCTCCAACATCCTTAAATCTAGCTGTATAAATAATCCAAAAGAACTGCTCAAACAAGTTTCACAAGAGGACTTTATAAACATTCGGTTTGGATGGATTTATCACAGAGCGGGAATATAGTGACAGGCTCCATTCCTGACCTATGTATTTAGTTTGAGGATCCATAGAGATGCATCTCACATGCAAGAGAGAGAGAGCAGGGAACTCTCTGCATGATCAGGAACCCTGAGGGGGAAAGCGGGAAATGTTGACAGTGGAGCATGAGATTGGCAGGTTGTTTTCTCCCTGCCTTCTTGATCCCTTGCAGGAAACTGACACATCCCAGAGCTAAAAAGGAAACTCAAGGAGATAATTTCCAGGTAAGGACAAACCCACAGAGTCTTTTTGGTGCTTGGCGAAGGTACGTTTTCCTTCCTTCATCATGGAAGTGAGGGGGGTGAGGATTCTTAATTTTATTTTGCTTGTACGGAATGGGGAAATCGCCAGAGAAAGAGGTCAGCTTCGCTCCTTTCGCCAGCCTAGCGGCAAGAAGCGGCTGTTTATGCTGAGCTGTGCAACTTTCCTACTGGTTCTGAGAATTCCATGTTTTTTGGGGGAAAGGGAACAAACACCCCAAATAAATAAATCTCTGGTAGAGATGTAAAATGAAAGAAAACACAGTGCTCCCCTCCCAAATTCATCCCACCCCAG